GTACTAATTTCTTTTAATGGCAACAGTAACTGAAAACTTCATTGACATGTCACCTTGCATGTCAGTCTANTTACAGCATTTTACGCTGTATTGGAATGTCGAACATGAAAAACCTCTCCATACCTACTAATTGATCGATCAGTTGTTTCAATATGAGGAAGTGAATTTAATTTTTATTCCAATGATACCAAAAGTTGACGTAATTAAGTAAGTAAAGGACTGTGGTAGTTGAAGGCTTCGTCCGGATTCTCATAGTTATTCCCACCAAGGCGATCGACGGAGCACCGGGGTTATTTTAGTGGGTATGCCTAAACATTCTGATGAGAGGAGCCCCACATAACCTACCCTGTTCCCGCAGGGTAGATATGCAATTTAATTCATTTTTTCCCGAAAAAAAAAGTAAGTACCAAAATCACCACTTCCAGATGAAAAAAAAAATGTGAAAAAAGAAAGAAAGAGAAGGACAGTAAATAAAACAATTGACTTCGGTAACCACTTATTATTTTCATTCCACTGTCTTTTCTGATATTCACTCATACATAAGGCGTGTTCATGATTGTTCTCTCAACAAATAATCGAAATACATCCATAATATTAAATTATATAACTTGCACCGACGTAATTATTTTGAACTAATGCAAAACATACATTTAAACAATAAAAGCTGCAATTTACATAACTTAACAATGATAATGTCACATAATTGATTCATAAAAAACAAACGGGTATTCGAAAATGTAAAGTTCAAGAGACAAAATGTCATGTAAGTAATTAAAACAATTATCTATAACAAACAATACATGTCACACACAGTGTTACACGAAGGAATAACGAATTATTGTCATATAAAATAAATCATTACCTATAACTCTTCCACTCGACATCAGACTTTAAAATAATCATTAATCAATGTGCAAATTAAGGCACGTAAATCTGTATTAGGAATATATTTAAAATATAATTATATTTACTAAAATATATGGTGATAAACCTATGAAATTGCCGTTTTATGTAGACGATTTAGGAAAACTAAATTTTAGTTAACTAAAGTTACAGATGGCATAATTTTATAAAACATGTATGAATCAGACAACATTAAGCTAACATCAAAATAAATGGATTATGAAAAATGTCATCTGCGAAAAAGATAACAAATCTTATCATGGAAATCACAGAACAGAAAATCTGTGATGGTAATGAATGACATTTAGGACTGTTTTTTTATTGCGTAAACATAAATCCGTGAACCTAAAAAGCATCGGCAATTTCATAGGCATCAACCTTTTGAAACAATACGCGACTTAGCAATTTTAATTAAGAGGCTGCTAAAAGGATTTAAAAAATACTAAGTATAGTTTTAGTGTCATAATTATAATAAAATAAAACAAGTTTGACACTAACATACCAATAATGTCTACACGATAGTTTACGGCCCATTAGCAGCTGCCATTCTACAAATAAATATAATCTACATTTGATTTTAAGATATCACCTTTGTACGTTAATTTAATTGCTTGATATATGTATTTTTAGACAATACAAACTACGTGTTTGTAGGTATAGTATGTGTATTTTACAATAAAAATGTTCGTTATGTGGTCACATGTTGACCATAAGCTGCTTGAACCATTTATTGTTGAATTTTCAACCATTGAGGTAAGTTTTTTTTCCTCAAACATCATAGAATCTAGCAATCTTGGAATCGAGGAAACCCATCTAACTGTACAGTCGATATCATTTTAAGTCGCCTCTATTACAACTGCATAAGATTCAACTTTGTTCAACTTGATATAAAATCGTCTGTTTAACTAGGTATATTAGTTTTACTACGTGGTGTGCTGACCTATCCAAATATCGCAGTCACATTAACAATGTTAATTTCTAGTTGACTTTGTGATATAAATAATACTTCTTTATTACAAAGTAACAATATTGAGTTAATTTATACAGTTAATATTTATCTCATTCACAAGATTACTAAATTCTATTGACTCAAGGTCTGGTGAATTTTTATTGTGTTGTCTTTAGTAAAATTAAGAAATCAGTATAATCGTAGTACTTATTATTATTCTGTGGTATAATTAACACGAATAAGTTGAAAATATCCTTCCTTATCCTCACTCCTTCACTCCTCCTCCAAAACACAGATCACATTTCTGTTCACTGTTCAATTCCTTGCGAAGCATAAATGCTTTATTGCTACATCTCCAATATGTACAGAAAGTACATAATGATTACAGTTTTTCAAGTCTCTGGCATGCAGCTGACGTGACTGTGGCGCGACGTGACGTTTAATTTGACAGCTGTCACCTTGCCAGGTCAGGATATTTTATTAAAAAAATGTCAGGCAGTGCCACAATCGCGCCACAGTCACACCAGATGTGCCAGAGCCTTTATATAAAGACATATACATACACAATTGGCACACACATTTCATGATTGCGACGATTACAAACCTTAAGTACCTTTAAAGATTAAAATTGATAAGTACAAAAATACAACAGACATTTAAAAATGGCACTCCAATGTATTATGGGGCAGTTTCACAAACAATACAAGTACGATAATTGAGTAAGATCGATTAATATACATTTTTATAAAAGTTCCGTAAGTACTTCAATATATTTGGTCAATAAAATCACATCGAGAAGCACATAATGCAATATTGATATAGTTAAATATTTACATTATGATCCTGGAAGACAAAACAGATTAGTGATAGGAGTTTGTGACCTAAAAAACTATGTACGAGTGCCGTACAGTACCGCGACAGTTATCTATACTTATAATAAATCTGTAGAGAGGTCAATTCTGTACATGAAATATATTTTCAAAATAACTATCAGAGGGTGATTAGTGATCGATACTGATGCCAAAAATGCAATCAATAAAATTTTTGTCTGTCTGTCTGTCTGNCCATTAAGATTAGTACAAAAATTCCGGCAAAACTTTTTTAACTTAACACTGTTTTCTTCTGTCAAATGTACCATTTCCTGAAAAAGGTGATTAAAAAAGTTCCTCACTGTCTATCAAAGGTTCAAACGTATTTCTTAACCTTTAACTATGGACGTCGGGTCGCAGAGGCCCACCCCCCTTTTCAATTTCTCGGTTTAAACACCTTCCCGCCACGTGCTGTTCTCGACCATCTCAGTAGCTTCAGTTTTAACTGTGTTTGGACCGAAGAGGCATAAAATCGCGTCTTCCGGCACTTATTACGTGAGTAATAACCATCCAAAATTTTATCGGGGTCTGCGAGACCCGATGACTATAATTTCCATACAAACATACTTGTATGGATGTGACTTGTCAACTATATTTTTTTTATATTTTAACATCATAATATGTTGTAAATTGTTCTAGTTTAAGAATACATAATGGCAGAAAGTATCTGAGTACATCAGCTATATTATCAGCCCAACTATCTAAGTAACATTCCAGAAGTAAGTTTTTACTTGTAGACGATCCTTCTTTTGAGTTTAGATGTCTTAGAAGGTACCATTGCTGCAGATTCCGATTCTAAATGGTGTACATTTTGCCTATAAAAGCTCTCAAAGAAATATGACACATGCCTGTAGAGATAATTTGTCTTTAGTGTTCCACTTTTTATAATTTTAGTAATTTTAACCCTTGTCAAAATTTTCTTTTTATGTCTTTCAGAAATTCTGTTTGTGTTTTTATGTTACACGGTTATTAATTAGCAAGGAAAAAAATATTAGTTTGATTTATTATTAATCGACTGTAATCAAGGAGCCTATATGTGATGCCAAGTCAATTAACACTGAAAAATGTCTATGGTTTGTAAATTTGCCAAAAAATAATTAAATAATGATTAAAAATTTATTACATTTACTACTAGATCCTTCATTAATAGTTATTAGATATAATATAGGTATCAAGTCATTGATAAATTCAAATTGGTTCAGATATAATTATGACAAATTTTAGATAGGGGTCTGTGAGACCCGACGTCCATGGGAGTGTGATTATTTTTTCACGTCCATAGTTAAAGGTTAAGACTACTAACAAATCTATATTATTCACAATAGTTTACATTGTAATTACATGTTGAAAAGGCATTTAAAGTTGAATTTTATTGGTGACGTTACACAGCACAAACTAAATTAAAAAAAAAATAAACAATCCTTATCTGTTTTTTACCCCCACCCCTGACCATTATCTGCTTATTCGCAAAACACGTTAATTACGAGGTATGTGTAACTTCATGGTTGTTTTAAAGTCATGTGCTGATAGGAAAGAAAGGGTTTAACAGATTCTGCGAATAGATAACAATGTCACCTAACGATAAAATCACTTTCTAGAACCGTAATCGACGCTTTTTCTAAAAAAAAGAACTAAAATACAATTACAAGAAGAGTCAATTTTAATTTTTTTTCGGAATCGTTTAACAGGCNATCTATGTTTCAAAGTTTTCACATAATTTCAGATTGAAATTTGAGAGTTGAAGGTCATTTTCGTTTTCGTTTTCGTTTTCGGCCGAAAATGAGACTGCAGCCGAAGCTTCGTTTTCGTTTCCGTTTTCGGCTGAAAATCCATATTCGGTCGGACACTAGAAATAATATTCTACTAAGAATTCATAATTCAATTTTTTGTGTTTTAATGCCGGTTTTCTTTAATCAATCCTTATCAAAAACAACTGTCAAACATCTATGTTTCAAAGTTTTCACATAATTTCAGATTGAAATTTGAGAGTTGAAGGTCATTTTCGTTTTCGTTTTCGTTTTCGGCCGAAAATGAGACTGCAGCCGAAGCTTCGTTTTCGTTTCCGTTTTCGGCTGAAAATCCATATTCGGTCGGACACTACTTTTAACTCTCAAATATGTATCTATATTAGAACCAAGATTGAGCACAAGCAAAATTGAACCTCAATACATAACTGATAAGATACAAATTGGCTTGCTCCTATTTTAATTCAAAAGGATCAACTTGGAATACGAGGGTAGTCTTAGAATAGAATGTACCAATCATTAGTCAATATTAAAAATATAGAATATCTAAATAACATAATTAAATAAATATAAAAGTCAAAATGCTTAATAAGTGTCATCATTAATATTTTAGTCATGTTTAGTTTACCATGTCAAAAATAAAATACGGATTTTACAAATTGCATACTTGCTTTCTAATTTACACAATCTGGCTATTTTTTCCACACAATTAACTAAAATAAAATAAAGGCAAGCTTACAAGATGCAAAAACCGTAGTAAATTCACTAAAATGTCATGATAGTTCCTGGCACTGGATTAGAGAAGTTATGGAAGTAGTTGTTGCATTTATTATCTACTGAGTAAACTAAGTTTCGCTTCAAACAAGGTGGCGTTTATCTTATTATATCACTTTAAGTACATACAGACAGGCTAGATTATAGTAGGTATGTAAACAAGTACATTTAGCCAACTGCGAGCTAATGTGTAAACAGCGCCATCTCTTGAGGAAGCAGAGAAGTGCTCAAGTTGAGAGTTCACTAGCGAAACTGTTAAAATTTTTATTGCTTTCTGTTCGCGCCTGCTTGTTTGAAGAAAATTAACTATTAATTTGTTATAATTAAAATATAGATATACCATAAAGGCATTGACTTTCGTCATCAGTTACGTTTGAAGAACCCGTCTTTTACAAACGCTAAATATCACCACTGATGTACAGATGGCGCCACTTCGAAAATATTTATGAGATCGCCCCTTTACTGCCTAATAAAAGTAAATGTCTAACAACTATTTAGTAAAAAACATATCCTCTTTGAACAACTAAGTACTATTGCAACACAAAATGGATTATTTACTTTATTGTGTCAGTAAAGACGCGCGCATTTTAAAGTTCTAAGAAACTATCGTCAATTTCTACTAAATGTTTTAAGTCGGTGGCGCCATCTACAAAGACATACGTAGTTCTCACAGAAACGGATAGCATACTCTTCAGACACGACAAAAATGTTTCTAAGTACACATCTATTTATAAAATAAACTATTGTAACAAAATGGTCCGTACAAACTACACTATAACCGAGCTGCTGACAATTCAAATTCCTATTTAAAGACGTCGCCATGTTTTATGGTCTTTTCAAATCAATAATGGAACAAGATATACAGCGTGTAATTGAATTAACGCAAAAGTTCAGAACTGTGCTGATTTTTATTGGATTCAATAAAATAATGCAGCATTGATCAAATATTTTTTGAACAAAAAATGGTGATTTAAAAAAAGATTTGTTTTAGATTTTGCGATAATTCAATTACACCCTGTATTTACGGAATACACCGAACGATTTTTCCGACTTTGAGCCCGAGTTGAAACAAACCGAGCACCATATTACACTTCACACAATATCTTTTGACACCACAGCTGTAGAAACACCTTTAACCTTTACATCTTTGGCCGTCTTTAGTGTCTTTACTCTTTTATGAAGACGGTCACGGCTTTTCCCGTCTCTGCTTCATTTTAAGCCTGGTCACACATTCCAGGTTAACAGAAAAGTGACATCTGTCACTTTCATTATTTCTTCGAAGATAGCAACCAGAATCAGCTGCCTGACGGCTCTGTATCACTCGTGCGACCATAGATGTCACTTTCACTAGATCCGCACTGTCTACGTCATACGTCTGACGTCACCACTAAATCTGCACGACCTTGCGCCTCCTAGTGAAGGCAAGCGCGTATTCGATTCCCCAGACAAGGACGCACGACATTATGAGCGCGTTTTGCACGTGGATGCAAATCGCAAAGCTGCCGGTGTAGTCGCGGACGTAACCTAAAAATAGATTTTAATCAGGTTTTTGTAAGCAATTAATCAAATCGCTCTTTTACACCGACGATGGCAAATAATTATTTATCTGACAACACATTTATAACTTGTATTATTTATATTTCTACTAACTATGCTAAAACTAGCATAGCAACTTATGTCAGAAGGAGGTGGAAGGCAGTAATTTTTTTTTCCTATATTTCATATATTTGCAAAACCAAAAAACTTGTGTCGTTTTTAATTGATAAATAATTTATATTTTTAAATTAGTGGTTCCTTTTTTATTTCAAAATCAATAGTACCTTAAATGACACCACTTAATGATTCATCTACTCTAAAACTTACCAATAAGAGGTCCGATGGCAACCACAAAGACTCCTTTGCTGACCATATGCAGACCGAAGGCCGCTGGCAACTTCTCAAGCGGACAGTACTCCGATATCGTCAACGTAAAGTTACTGAGGCACATCCCTCGGAAGAACCCGCAAATTGACAGCCAAATCATGAGTGGCACCCACTCGCTTTGCTCTGCTAATACTGGAAATAAATTAAAAATAAAATTAGTTGTAGGTACAGGTGTAAAAAGTATTGTAGGGATGTGTACGAAAGGCGGAAATAATGACATTAATATTGATAATACTTTTAGAAAATATGTATGAACCAGTTGACTTACTTGAAATTCTATCAGTAATCAGGGGACGTAGTGTGAGTTTACTTCAAACGCATTCGATATCGACTACGTAAAAAAGTGACATTAAAATTGTATGACGGATTGTACAGCGCCCCTAACGGAAACTTTCAGGAACTAAAATCTTCATATATTTTTTGATGCACTCGATATCGAATACATTTGATGTAAACTCACACTAAGCCCCCTGTGCACTTAAGACATCGTAAATCTACGAAGTGGATCGAACCAGTAGTCACAAAATTTACGACTTGATTTTTATGATGATTGAACCGTATCGTTCTAAAGTGTCACTTAATATTAAAATTATACATGTAAATTACCCATAATTTACATAAATATTGGCATACCTATTACTTAATGTAACACTTTAAGATTCAACACAATTCATTCACAATAAGGTAAGTGAGGTAACATAGAGAAAAATAAGATAATATATCAGTCTGCTTCTAAAATAACATGTTTACTCGTATTTTAAACCGTCCGTCATCACAATAAAAGTCAATCATCGCTCTGAAATACGACACCATTTGCATTGTGGCAACGTGATTATCCCGTGACGGACAAACGCTGTCTCGTGCCAAAATGGTAACAATAACTATTATTACTAGATACTTTAATGAGAACATTCTAAGACGGACATGTCACATGAGTATAATAAGTATCCGCAATCCTACAAAGTGAGACAACGTAACGCAGTATTACAAAAGATTAAAGTTTCACTCTCATCGTCATTAACATCTTGATGGCTAGTGATCAGCTACGGTATAAATTTACTGTTTCTAATTTCTTACTTCGTATAAATATTTTGTTTAATGACATAACCATCAGAATTGTTGCATTATTGAGACAGGCAACACATCTGTAACTCTTTTGGTGTTGCTATGTAAATGGGCGGTGGTGATCACTTATTACAAGGTGATCAAAAAACCCCCTCTTATTATCATCATCGTTTCAGCCACAGGACAGGACGTTCACCGCTAAATTCTGTTACCTTATAAAACGACTATAAAACGAATAAGAATAAATAGTATGCAATATATTATGGATACAATAAAGAATTGAGTACATATTTAGTATTGAGTAGAAGCATAAACTCACCTGATCTTGTCGCTGCCAAAAAGAACGCAGATATGAAGAATATCATCTTCTTGGATATAGTAGTCCTATCAAATATGGGGGGTAGTATCAACCGCACCAATATATCGGTGATCGCGGTCATGGATAGGCAAAACGCCGTGTCGTTCATATTGTACCCCAGGCTTCTTATAAAAAAAGGCGTCAACATCCTAAACTGCAGCTCACCACTCCAAAAAAGTGAGAGCCCAAGTAAAAGGTTCAAAAACGACCAGTCTTTCAGTAGATCTAAGTCCATTAGTGCAACGAATCTTTTAAAGAAATTCTTTTTCTTCTCTTGCTCTGGCTCGGCTTTCTTGATTGTTTTCATCTGTATCGCTTCGTCATCGGCTGTCTGGAAAATAATAATTAACTTTTAAAAAAAATAAAACCGACTTCAAATGCGTGAACACAAAAAAAAACTAAAAATTAAAAATATTGCGTATAAAAAAGTTCATCCCCAATTTTCCACCCTTGGGGGTGAAATATTTTCTTCAAATTCGCATGAAACCACCCTTTTGATAATGCCTATTCAACAAAAAAATAATCGTTCNGCTATATGATAATGTATTTTTTTAATGATTTACGCGCATTAATATATAAGGAAATGATAATAAAAAATATCTTCATTTACTTAAGCGGTGTTTACAATTTTTTTTTCAAACTTGGGCGGTGTTTCACACTGTATTTTAATTCTTTTAGGAAGCTATTTGAGTGAAATACACTATTGATGGAGAAGGAATTGATTCTTGAAGTATTCCGAGTTCAGGTGATGAATTTTTATGTGCACAATTACAAGAAGCAGGACATAAACGGCTTAAACAACTGCCCAGGTTTCAATCGAATCGAAGGCTTTCTCATAATCCACAAACGCCAGGCAAAGTGGCTGATTATACTCCTCGCTCTTCTGTATAATCTGCCGCAGCGTATGTATGTGATCTAAGACACTAAAGCCTGCTAGCCAGCCTGGAAACCAGCTTAATCAGGAGGCTGGAAAGCGTCGAGTCGGCGAGCTAGACGATTCATAATTACTCGAAAACAGCTTGTAGACATGATTCAGAAGTTACGAAGTTAGATGGGCCTATAATTCTTCAACAATATTTTATCGCCGTTTTTTGAAGAAGAGGTCTCTCTTCTATGAGGTTATTGATGAGATCAGAGGTCTATTTTTTTCTCTTAAACGACGGGTTTTAAAAACCTTAGACCCAGTCATTTGGACAATTCAAAAGAACCTGCCATTGTACTCTTCCACATTTTTGCAATGTATGGCATTGGAAACGATTTTGCAACTCGAGTTGAGCTTTCGAGTTGGATGGACGCTGGGCGGAGTGTAGACTTTATAAGTCGACATCTATCGATATTCGGACTTATATTTAATGTGCCCCTTACCATTTGGTGATTGCTTCCTGTTTTGAACAAATTGACCACATAGACAACATGCTTCTACGTCGATAAGATGAATTTGATCTCATATATCATAGCGTCATTGGGATGCAACGAAATCTACTTTAGCTGTTTTGGCTTTCTGTAGAAGGAGTTCATCATCCCTCTCCTTAAAGCCAGCCAGCAGTTAGCCACGTGCGTTCCTCTCTTCCAAATTGCCCCACTTCCGGCTCATTGTCGTTTCGTTTGCCCAGTTTCGCGTTGAAGGCCCCCCCTCACAATATTTGATCTACACACTGTGATTCTTAAGATTTAGGTTAAAGATAGGATAGGTCATAGGTTATAATGATTGTTTAATTATTTTTTTTAATAATTCTTCATAAAATTTTTCTTTGTAAATCATCTATTAATACCTTATTCCTTTACATTTCGGCAAACAACACCGCCTAACTCAACAAAAAAATCAGTCAATACCGCTCAAGTCATAAAATATAGGTTAAAATAAAGTAAATCGTCAAATTAAGTATAAATAATTATTTCTTAACCGCTAAATAAAGTATTTAATAAGTAACAATAGGAAAAATCCACCGAATTTTTAAAATAAACAGTTTTTTTCGTCTCCTGTAAAGTTGGTAAAAATGACTTACGCGGTGTTGTTAGCTAAGGGACGATATAGAGAAGTAATTATAAGAAAAATAAGATAATATATCAGTCTGCTTCTAAAATAACATGTTTACTTGCATTTTAAACCGTTCGTCATCACAATAAAAGTCAATCATCGCTCTGAAATACGACACCATTTGCATTGTGGCAACGTGATTATCACGTGACGGACAAACATCGTCTCGTGCCAAAATGGTCACAATAACTAACTTTAATGAGAACATTCTAAGACGGACATGTCATATGAGTATCATGAGTATCCGCGTTACTACAACGTAAGTCAACGTAACGCAGTATTACAAAAGATTAAAGTTTCACTCTCATCGTCATTAACATCTTGATGGCTAGTGATCAGCTACGGTAAGATTCACTCGTTCTAATTCTACAAACTAACAACTCGCAAACATAAACCGATAGCGCCGCGCTCTCTGAATTTCAAAATGCACAAATTAAAAAAAAAAACAAATATTTTGTAAATTCACCTTACCACTATAATAAAATTGTAATTGTTAGTCTATTCCACTTTGATCACCTGGATTAGATCACCCAGGTGATTATAGGTGACAGACACTTTGGTGTCCTTTGATCACCTATAAATAAATCACACCTCTGAATAGTCATAAGTCTAATTTGTTTTTCAGAGGATGCATAAAAGATTGTTCATAGGCCACCACCCCCCAAGCCCTCTCTTTAAATGTTATAACAATAATGTGTGTATATGTCGCAGTCAGATTGTATAATCCGCCGTTTTACATTACAGCTAGGCATTTTGCATTACAGCTCTGTTTTGTAATACGGCGGATTAACGTTTAGCCGGANTTAGAGTTAAAGGTACAGTATTAGTTCACGAAAAGTGTCAAGTCCCTTAACCAAACAATAATTAACAACCTACTACGATCCTCTTGCATTACGAGTGGACCTAAGATGCACATACAATATTCTTAACGCGCCATCATAATTTTTGAACCTACACTTTTAAGGTTAAATTACTATAGACCCCGTTGTTTGAAGATACGTCTACTGAACGTCGCTATGACCTAGATACACGCTTAATTAGATAAAACCTTTCGAAACTACAAACAGCCATCTAAAAATATGATCATTAAAAATCAATTTCTAAAAGTTGGTTACGTTTTAGTTACACGTAAGTGTAGAAAGGGAACGACAGTTGCTACTCACTGGATCCAACTGCATTCATAGAGAAATACTATTTATAACATCCTTTTACGATTTATATCTACCCTCATACTTTTANCAATACCGTGGCGCTGCCGGACAAAGTGGCTATGGATTCTGGTGTTCGGCGGAATCCTACACAATATTATTAGTGTAAAAATATGAAATCATGGCAGTGGCCGGTGAAGATAATTTTATCTTAAAGAAAAATAACCCAGAAAAAATGACTAAAACTTTATTGTTTTGAGTTACCTGTTCCCTTTGATCATTTTTAATGTCTAAAAAAGACTAAAGCCAAATATCTAAATAATTCTTAAAATGTTTAGAAAAGTCTAATTGTTTTGAGTTACTTTTTTTTAGATGGCTATCCCTTGTGATTTATAAATAAGTAAAAAAAAATACTGAAGCCAAATATATTATATAGTATACAGTAACGAAGGTAATAATTCTTAAAATCTGTCTTATTAAAATTTATTTTCATTAAACATTGTTTTATTTTGTAAGTATAGTCACCCTACAATCTATAGAAGTACGATGCGGCTAAACGTGGGCCGCCGTATTGAAGAACATATCGCAATGACAATCCGCCTAAACGTTGAACCGCCGTATTACAAAACAGAGCTGTAATGTAAAATGCCTAGTGGTAATGTAAAACGGCGGATTATACAATCCGACTGCGACATATATATCTAACTCACCTGATCTTGTCGCTGCCAAAAAGAACGCAGATATGAAGAATATCATCTTCTTGGATATAGTAGTCCTATCAAATATGGGGGGTAGTATCAACCGCACCAATATATCGGTGATGGCGGTCATGGATAGGCAAAACGCCGTGTCGTTCATATTGTACCCCAGGCTTCTTATAAAAAAAGGCGTCAACATCCTAAACTGCAGCTCGCCACTCCAAAAAAGTGAGAGCCCAAGTAAAAGGTTCAAAAACGACCAGTCTTTCAGTAGATCTAAGTCCATTAGTGCAACGAATCTTTTAAAGAAATTCTTCTTCTTCTCTTGCTCTGGCTCGGCTTTCTTGATTGTTTTCATCTGTATCGCTTCGTCATCTGCCGTCTGGAAAATAATAAATATTTTATTTAATTATGTCATTCACTGATAACAAGATATTATTTTTATCTACGGACAATACGGTTACTAATCATCAATATAATCGGTTGTATTTTCCAATAGTCGGATTAAAACCGCCTACGAGTAGAAATGATGGATTATCCTTTGTTAGACAATATTGAAGCTCATTATATAGTTTGTTTCAAACATGGAAACGGATGAACGAATGGAAATTTTAATCAAAACACGGTACTTCTAACGTCAGACTACTTGACTGATTACTTCATCTGGTATATACTGTGTTTTCTCAATCATATTCTCTGTGTCAATAAGGGCTATTGTAACTATTTTAACCCCTAGCTTACTGTAGGATACCGTTAGTCGCCAGTGGCGCCAATAGGTAATCACAAATATGATAGTAGACCTTATTCAATTCAATTCGTCTTTAAATAAAAACATGATACATTAAGATCGATTCATACAATTAATAAACATAGTTCAGCCTGGTCTCGTCATATATATGGTAGATTTCATGACCCGAACTGGATATATTCGACGTACGACATAAGCGCCACCTAATTAATGCAAACTAAATTAATAGGACCGTTACGTTTGAAACAAACTATACACACACAACAGAATGAATAAAACAATAAAAAGATCCAATACCTACATCAAGATACAGCTGCAAATAGCTGCCCGTGAAGTCCATGTTGGATATATTCGAAATAACCGAGACTTTTCTCCTTCGGGCGGCTTCGCTCATACTGCCACTTGACGTCACGCGAGGCATCGCGGCCACCGACGCCGCAGTGGTTAACCCTAAACTTAGCCTAGAAGTCTTGTCGAAGTCTTGCAGAGGTTTATCACAGGTCTTCGCTCGCGGGAGGCCGATCGTCCTAACTGACGGATGGTTCATATTAGTGTGAGACCGCTGAGGCGTCAATTTTGGCAACGCGTGGGTGACGAGAGGGTTAATTTCAAACTTGTCGTCCGCTTCTTCGTCGCTTTCGAGGATGCACTCCATTTCCTGGAAATAAAGATGTAGGTATTTGTGTTTATGAAAGGGTACAGTGAGAAATAGGGGTAAAATATCAAAACCAAGTGAAAATGTGGAGTTTGTAGGCATTACATAACAACAAAATTTTAGTGTATTTTTTCTACGTCACTCTTGAAATTATATGTTTAATATTAGTCTGTTTCCAATGCCACACAATTGCATGGTATTTTATATATTCCTATTTTATTTTCAGCAGTACACTTGAAATTATCTACTTTGTTTTCAAATCAACATAAATTACATGGTATTCAGTCCAAGTATTCAATGTAATTACCTACATAATCCTATTTCTTACACTTCAACAATTTTTTTGTTCAGATTGACAGAAATAACTCTAATAATAATTTACAATTGCTAAGGCCGAGTTGCACCATCTTACTTTAACTTTGACAAACGTCAAAAATCTGTCAAATACCATACAAAAATCACCGGTTATTGCTATTGTCATGGTTAAAATAAGGTGGTGCAACTCAGCCTAAGTAAGTATAGTGTTGTATATTCAAAAAATAAAACCGTCACCGTTTCTAATCAGGCATGTTAAAACGATGAGTAATAATTGATAATGTAAGGTACAATGCACTTCGCATCTGTTTTGTAGCGTAACTGATTGTTTTGAACCATTGCTCATTGCATACAAAGCGGACGATTGATTGATAATTAAGAATTTACATAGGGCCTTGGTGAAATGTTACGCGCGAAAAACACCCACGCTATTGGGTTATACGATGCGCTGAAGTTAAAATCAAGTAACTAAGTGTGAATCAAATAACTGTACTTTAAACAGCATAACGGAAACAGACAGAGGACTCCTATAAGACTAATAAGAACATTCAGGAAAAGTCTTCTAGGTAGACTAGATCGATACGGTGTAAGTAGTATTGTACAAAGATCCCTACATAGCTTAGGTAGTAAATAAGTAATTTCTTCATTGCACCATGCGCCAAAATTATGCATTATAGGGAATAATATTCGCAAGAATCAGTGTGATCAATGAGCTTGAATTATTCTACATTATTTAAATGCTATCAACTTCTTCTTCTTTTCGTGTCGACAAACCTACACAGTGTCTATCAACTAAAACTGTGTCTTTTTCTACAATACCTATGAATAATGCTTAAACGCAATCATTTCAGAACTATGTGAAAACATGTTATTTGCTCAGCTGATGCTGAATACAAAATAACAGATTTCTGTTAATGTTTCATTGTTTTGTACTTTTTGTTGCCAATGAAAACTGGAATTATTGTTAATTTATGAAAGGTTGCAAATTGTCTGACGCAAATCTATATTTCAGATTAATTTACATTGAGCCAGTTTTACTGAAATAGGTCAAAGATCTTCAACTGCCAAAATAATTATGGTCTCACTATGAAAAACATCTTCTATGTATATTAAATATTACTGTCCAGAAACGAAATTCATATGATAAAAGCAACTGACAGAAACTTTATTCATCATTAAAATTACAAATCTCAGAATGTGTCAATGATTTTATTGATGTATTGCCCAATTGTATATTACTCAGTATCCTCAATAATAAAACCAGATTGTCAGAATAATGTTCAATTTCGACGATAGACCGTTCACTCGGCGACCGTGTGTTTCAATTACACCGGCAGTGTCCAAAACGGTGATCTAATCAACACAATTCAATTTAACAATTCAATTCAATTATTACATTAACACCGCAATCGTAGCATAATCATGTTATGTAAATGATACCTAGTCGTTGACATTAGATCCTGGGTTCAGAATGAAATTATAAATAACTAGGCGTAATCACCTTTTGGTGCCATAGATGAATCGAAGTTAATATTAGACTCGTGTTAGTAGAAACTAGAAATATTGTGCTATGGTTTTTTATGACTCCTGTTGTTGTGCAAACTCCGTCACATCAGACTAGCATTTTTATTGCAAAATAACTCCTATTACTACTGTCATAAGATGCAACAGTGTTAAGCTTGATGTACCTCCAAACTACGATATAAAGAATGGACTATTGAACGGTCTAGGACTTAGGTATGCCGTAACATTCATTAGATGAACAATGGATGAGTGAGAATATGATACACCTATGTCAATTTATAAACACCATATTGCTTGACATTCCGATTGGACTACGTACCAAGTTGATAAGTGGATAAGTACGGATTTTCATGAAATTATGTTGATTTAACTTCACGTAAACAAGGTCAGGGACTTTCCATAATCTTTACTATATCATTCACATTTCATTTTCGACTTTAAAAATAGACACATAGTCTCACAAAAAGTCAACTGGCGTAACTTGTCGTGAAAAAAATCTATAAAAAACGTGTTTCATCTTGTTAATTATTATGCCAAACAAACAACATTAAATTTTCACAGAATACTGTTGCTTATTTACACGTTTGCGTGGAACGGTAATGCCCCCAAAATGGGCACAGTTCATCTGACTTAAATAGAGTGAGACTATCCAAAGAGTATTTACACAAACGAAACTAACCTTTACTGTCTGCATCTCACAGTCCACTGGCACTTCTTTGAGATGCCTCTTCACTGGTTGTAGCAGACAGGAGCCAAGCACAGCGTGGAAAGCCAAAGCGCCCAGGATGACTACGGTCCATCTGAACCCGTACTCTCCCAGGAGGATCTTGACCAGCTGTGGCATGACCATCAGGCCGAAGCCAGTCCCAGCCATGGACAAGCCGACGGCCTGCCCACGCTTCTTGGAGAAGTAGTGGTTTAGCGACACGAACGATGACGACGAAGCGAGGCCCACTCCAAAACCTGGAAATAAATAATACGAGGTCTGTTAAAAAATGTGGTGATACAAAAAAAGTAAATTGTAAATGAACCTGAGTCGTGTTAACAGTCGCTTCAAGAAGCGAAGTAATTAATAAAATTCGCCGAAGAACAAATGCAAGTCATGATGTTACTATAATATCTAGGCTGACTGGGGCTTGGAGATAAGGCACGCCATATACGGACATAGTATGGACAGCTTCGTCAAGAAGCTGCGACTGCATAGCAAAACTACAGTATTCTACGTACACACATACACGGAACCGCTGGAGCAGTTGTGACTGCTTCGGCAGCACGGTGAATTAACTATGGCTGGGTTGCACCATCTTACTTTAACTTTGACAATCGTCAAAAAACTGTCAAACTCCATACAAAAAACACCGGTTACCGTTAAAGTTACGGTCAAGTTAGGTGGTGCAACTAGCCTATGACTGCAAGAGCGGTCCCTGCATGATTATCACTGGCTAACTGCTCGAGCTCTCCGTGTATGGCGGCCCTAAAATTTGAGATACTTGATTTCGTAATCCGCTACGTCACCTAATTAACAAAGCAGTTTATCAAACCGAAAAGGATAAGTAATCTTACATTACTTACAAGGACTAGTTAGTCACCAGACAGTGACCTCGTTTGCACATATGGCCAACTTTATAAATAAACAAAAAGTCATTACAACGTGTAAGACCTTAAAATAGAACTTGCATTTATTTTCATTCAATTACCAACATATACTCGTACATACGCTTTTTAGGTAATTGTTTTAGGGAAAATTTCTTAGCTGACCATGAGCATCGCTAAAAGACAATACCAAAAANTTGAATCATTCACTGTGTTTAAATGAACAAATTAATGTGTAAAACATTTTTTCATTATAGTTTACTGAGCATTAGTGACTTTTTACAAACGTCTTCAGAAATTCGATACTTATGTCGCCATCTAGTGAGATTGATTTGGAATGATTCAAGATTTATAGGCATCGGGTTCCCGTGCTAATGCTATGTAAGTAGGTATATTAATTAAACGTCATATTTATTACACCGCCTTAATCTCTCTACTCGACCTGTGGTTGACTGGCAGATAATGCCACCTGGCATTAAGTCCGCCACTGTACATATGTATGTGCAAAAGTGTAAATAAAAAAAAAATAAATAAAAGGAATTCTTACGATTATTTTAAAGACAAATACATAAAAACAATATGAAGTTTGTTCAATTGTATTCCCAGAAACTAGATTTCTTAGAACGAGTCTCATGAGCAATTTATTATTCTAAAAACAAAAGTGCCGGCGATGAGGCAAATGATGAAAATAATGGCAAGCAATCAAACACTGATGAGTAGGAAGTTAAAAAACTGTAAGTGTGGGTTTCAATTTGAATATCAATACAAAACTCATTATCAGTAGTTAACTAGGTAATTTACTGTTCAAAAATATCCTCAAATCGTAGGTACTCATACAAGTTTTCAAATGTTAAAAGAAACCATAGTAACGAAAAGCGGATTTAAAACATCAAGTCATTGCCAAAATTAAATTTCAAACGTAAATTAGATTTCATGCTTTCTAATCGCACAGTATAGGACAATCGATGATTGTTATCAATTTAATTACTTGATAGTAAAGTAATAATTTTATAATTATGATCTACATTCACATAATGAGCCTAGCTAGTTGTTGAAATTTTAAATGATTGCACAACAATTACCTAAGTTAACAATTTCCATCCAAAGACACGCCCAATATCGTCAAATTTTGAAAAATGTGAACATAATAATAATCGCTTTTTTAAAGTCCAAAAACAGCACAGTTAACATTATCCAAATCGTAACCATATTCAGTGTGAATGTAACGTTTAAATTAACAAATCATGACCAAGTGCATCGAATGCGGTTCATTGATGAAGTCTTAAGAGCACTCGAATGAACTTCACGTATTAAAATCAATCCCAGTCATCGAACAAAGTCCAAACTCCATGCCAACGAAGTTGCACATCATACACACTTGTGAATCAGTAATCGACCATAGGATCGATTCAGAAGTCACAGCGCATAGCAACTAAAGAACATTATGGTGCGGGTACACTATGCGGGATATTAACCGAGACGAAGCGCGAGCACGCTCACCGAAGTATGGGCGACGCACGGCAAAACTGACTGAAGTGCGTTTTTACACTATACGTCTCGAACAGTTTCCCGCATAGTGTACTTGCGCCTTTATTTAAAATCAAGTACACAAAGGCATATGATTTCGCAAATGAACACAAGTCTGTAACACGCAAGAATACATTATGTGGAAAGGTTAATGTACTTATTGTGTAACAGATTGTTGAAGAGATTTACGCGAAAAAACACTGTTCTTGTTTTCGTTGCTGATTTTGAAGAAACGGATTTCTCCATTTGGAATTGTCAAATGGTATTTCGGTATTGTGTCATCGTTGTCTCAAGAAATATTCCACTGACAAGATACAATGTTATGAAAGAAATGTACTTTAATGTACATGAAATGTACTCTTTTTTGCACACCACACGACACTGACAAAAAAACGTTTATAGCTTACCTCCTAAAGTACTATAAGTCGCCAATATGTGCCCCATGCTGTTTGCTGGAGCCGTGAACAGCAAGCCGAGCGCACATATCGTGGAGCCCACGAAACAGACCTTCCTATATGAGAAGGTCTTGATCACGGGCCCCACGAAGAAGCCAGAGAAGTTGACGACGGAGTCGAGCGTACTCGCGATCACTGAGGCACCGGTGGTGTGGACACCCAAGTCGTCCAGCAAGTCTTTGAAGAGGAGACCGAACGACGGCTCGAGGGACCGCGTTGAAAACTGCAAATAACATGTAAAAACTTTTTTTTATACGTAGACTAATGCCAGAGCCACACATTGGGTATATTGACTCTAAGTTATAGTCTTGGATCCAATACACCAATGTGCAGATCAGTCTTTGGACATAAACGTAAGGCCAATACCGACCATTGGTGTAGGTATTGGATCCAAACCTATAACTTGGAGCCCATAATACCCAATAGGTATGTGGCGTCGGCATAAAGCGTTACACGCCCCTATGTAATTTTAACTCTACCACTGTTCTGGACAATAATGATGGCCAGTTCTTAGTGTTGAGGCTTTTAAAGCGTTTTTGCACGTGCATGTATTTTTACTAACGCTACTGCTTCGGGACGACAATATAGGCCAGCATTGAAAAGAAACAGCGCAAGAAATTCAGCATTTAGGATTTTGAAAAGGAATTAAACACGGGCCAGTCTCATTTTAATAAGGCTGGGTTGCACCATCTTACTTTAACTTCGAGAAATGTCAAAAATCTGTCAAACTCCATACAAAAAGCACCGGTTATCGTCATAGTTACCGTTAAAGTTGGGTGGTGCAACTCAGCCTAACTCTACTACCGCTTTGACAATGACTGTGGGCCAGTGCTATAGATGCAGCGTATAAAACTCAGTCAGCGTTACTATAATTCAACAGTGATCATATTTACGTAGCACTTTTTCATAGTCAGTGATTGTGCTGCGTTACTTATATCCAATTACATTTTGTGCGTGTTCACAGAAGCGGAACGGGCCGGTTGGCGTTGCAAGTTTACTTTCTTTCGAGCGGTCGAATTAAATCCATACAGTATCAAATATTTTATATTTAAAAACTCGACATTAATGATAGATCTATGATTAAGATCATATTCCTCATATTCCAGAGTATGTTAATAATACCTACAACGTAGATAGAGACTGAAAACTCTTTGGAGATATTGTGTCATTAATTTTGATAGAGAATAGAGATGGTAAATTAATTACAGTCCTGTGGGTCTAGACAAAGTGCAAATTATAATCGCAAACCAGTCGAAAAGTGGTCGAGAAGCCCCTTTTTTGTATGGAGTTTTGACGGATTCGATTTTCGATTCGATCAAAAAGTGCGTTTTGTCTAGGGGGGCAGCTCTACGATAATTACGAAAAGGTCAAGGGCCTAGACGTAAAGATCTTACGTCATGCTATTCTGTAGCATTTTAGGTTAACTTTAGTGAATAACAGAGTAAGAAAACAGTGGAAGAACATTAACTTTACGATGTATACTAATCATAATAAAAATAGCAATGAAACACCATTGAACAAAGCTGTAAAAACAGTAATATTTCCCGCGATTAACCACGAAAATAATGTCGCATACGAATGAAATGGTACGAAATGATGCTGAATTACAGTAAAGTGATAGATGAAAATGTAAGTGCTACGTGCAAACGGACACGAGAACAATGTACTATTACAACGCGGTACTTTGTAGTAATTGTGTCATTCATTCAAGAGCATGTGACTTGTTTAGCAATAGTAATTGTCGCTCATATCAGCCACAGTCCGGCAAAGTATTCTGTAGGTAAATATTGAAAGGCTAGCGATAAGATGAGCCTTCGAGTCACGTTTTGCAGATGTGCATCAGTTATCACGAAAGTTAGCAACAATGAGGCTTTACTTTATTAGACCATTACGTTTTTACGACTTCCTACTGTCATTTGTAACGATAATAAATTGTTAATGCGAAATAAAACGATGATATTTTTGCAATAATCTTTCAAATTGTAATAGAATGTACACAATCTATACAAAATAGCAATGTAGTTTATTTTTACGAGATTTCAAAGAGAACTGTTTGTTTTGGAACGCAATTGGGAGTATAACCTTGACACTCGCGACTCAGTTAATAAATTAATTCTCATGCTTTTTATATAAAACTGTCCGAGACTTTATCCACAGTCAATAAATAGTATTGCGTCTGATAGAGTTGATAAACAAAATAAAAAGCGGCTAAATAACCTAAAATAAAGTATCATTAGATTTATCTTCAACGTAAAAATAAATTCCGTACGAAATCGCACGCACGATCGACATCGTTTGAAGATTCGATTCGGTAATTCGGAATGATTTCTTAATTTTTCCACTTCGGAAATCTTCTTAATTATTGACTGAAAAACAAACTGACTCAAAAATCTTGGATTGAAATATTAGATAGGTTTTATTTATTACAATTCCGACCATATTTTGTGAAAATCTTAAGCATCCGATGTTTCTGAAGGCGCGTTAAACGCCCGTTCAATATCACTTGGTAATTTGGTATTTGTCGCTAAGCCTAATCAGAAACCTTGGGTTAGTTTGTAGTCCAGTCATTAAAGCATTATAGATGGAAATCCGTGGAACACAATTTTTGACTTCGGGACTTTATTTAGACTAGTTAGGAGGTGAACATAGCAAAAGTCCCCGCCCTTAGCCCTTGAGCCGGCGGGGAGAGGGGGGTTTAAAGGTACCACTTTTCGGTTTTTCGCTTAATCCTCGGAAACTATGCGTCCTAATAACTAGGGCATGGAATACCGGAATAAGTTTTATACCGGTATTGATACCGGTATTGAAATTTCAATTACCGGTATACCGAAATTTCGGTATTTTTTCGGTATTTCTTGAGATACTGCTATTTACTGTTTAAATGTTTCCAAGAACGATTAGTAAGTCTCGTTTGCGAAAAGTTATTAATAGGCCAGTAGAATAAGACGTGAAAATTAATCAAATCGGAAATAATTCCTAAAGGTTTTGTTTTAATAGCTTCATTTGTTGCTCATTAAGACTATCCTAAGTTTTCGACTTCGACGGAAGTGTGGTGGGGCCCCCCGAAAGGGGCATTTTTCCGGTTTTATGGTTATACCGTATAAATAAAGGACTTGCAGTATAGAAAATTAATCTTCATGGCAGGTGAAGGGCATTTAATCCTGCATTGAATAAGACGAAATTCATATATTTTAGACAAACCGTTTTCGTGTTTATCTTCGACAAAGTAAAAAATATGCGTATAATTAATGACCCTCTCTAAGTTCAATGGCTCGTCACCCGCTGGCTCCCAAGCCTTGAAAAGGGCCACCTTAACCAGCGTATTCCTGTCAAGGCTCGCGAGTTGGATTCGCCTATCCTTATTCATCCCAGCCGTTCCTTTACTACGGTTGCTGCGCCTCTTCCTTGCTCTCTCTTGAACGACTTTCGTGTTATCTACTGTGGCTGCCCCTCTTCCTTGCACCCTCCTGTACGACTGCGTTGCCTNCAATAGAAATCTTCGCTCTAATCAGACTCTTCAGCTTGTCACCCCTCGCCACACCACCGGTTTCATGTCTAACTCCTTCTCAGTCTCAGCAGTACGGCTCTGGAACGGCCTTCCGGCGAGTTTGCGAAAAGCAACCTCCAAATTCACATTTAAAAAGGCTCTGCGCAACTATTTCAAAGACTAAAACTTTTTTTTTTTTTTTTTTTTTTCTTATCTCTGACATGTGTTATGTGTACGCCAATATTAATATGTATTCGTATGTTATTTATTTTATCTAATGCCACAGATAATATAATACTAGTACAGATGCATCATCCCATACTCGAAATGTGGCCGACCTAAGTCTTGAAACTGCTCGGGCCCGCGTGTTTTCCTAGTGGTGATAANATTTAGTCGATTTTCTCCTGATGGGAATATGTAAGACAAAATTAAAATTTCCGATATTACAGACCTTCTAGAGCAGATGCCGCGAAAACTATACAAGTTAAAGAAAAACTTGACCGTCTCACCTGTAGCAAATTGAATAAGCTTTTTTTGGTTCATAGTAGCCATGTCACTAGGACGCATAGTTTCCGAGGATTAAGCGAAAAACCGAAAAGTGGTACCTTTAAACCCCCCTCTCCCCGCCGGCTTAAGGGCTAAGGGCGGGGACTTTTACTATGTTCTCCTCCTAACTAGTCTAAATAAAGTCCCGAGGTCAGAAATTGTGTTCCTGGGATTTCTCTCTACACCGTCGTTAAAGCATTCATTGACTGGACTATTGATAAAATCTAACAGAAAGGTAAAGAAAAGACTTTCCATGTATGTACTTGAATCCTAAGTATAGAGGGGTCTCTACCCAGTGGTAGGCCATATTCCGTGCATATGCCGTGGTGGAATAATATGGCCTAAACAACCTAATTTGGAGTGTGCTGGGGCGCGAAGGAGTATGCTTTAAATTACCCCACAGATGGGGTAAGGCCTGTGCTCTGCAGTAGCAATCTTACTTTACTCTAATTCTAATTTACTTCATCATCCATCATCATCCTTTCAGTCATAGGACGTCCACTGCTGAATATAGGCCTCCCCCAATAATTTCCACAATGGCCGCTTGGTGGCGGCCAGCATCCAGCGCCTTTATGGGGTCGTCGGTCCACCTCCACTCCAGAACCTTGCTGCCCCATCGGCAGTCAGTTCTGATATTCTAATTTACTTACATTGACTAAACTAACTCCGAGGCAGACCATCCACGCCCAGCCGCCGTCCGGAGCCACCTTCTTCGTGGCTGGCGGCATCTTGGTCTTCTGGCCTTTGCTCTTCTCCGCCGTCATTTTAGCTTTTGTCACCTATCCGTCTGAAACAAAGGATATTTTTAATAGTCATTTAAGTTAAACTTGTTCTTTTGTAAGCAGAAGAACTTGAAACATTTTTTTTCGGACTTCGTCTGACTCTGGCTCATCCCAGCGTCATAACCAAACTGGGAATTAACTGAATACAAGTGATTATTATATTATGTGTGTTCAATTTGAGAACTGACATGTACAAATCCTTGAGTCAGAGTTCACTTCTCTAGAGCACTGGACTACGGTGATGACTCTATCTATCTACTATGTAAAAGCTCGCCTAACATTATGAGTCTCTAGATATTAATTAATTAGTAGCTACCTATTAATAAATCAAATCAAAAATTTTGTGGAATTAAAAAGACCTTGGCATTTTTGATGTCATCAACTAACAAGCTAACAAAACAAGCGCTGTAAAGTCCTAGAACCAGTTTTTTGGACAAACAATAACTATCTTCAAGGAATTCATAAATCTCCTTCTTCACTTAAAGCTCATGTAACTGTTAAAAGAGAATGTGTCATTTTGCAGTCGAATTCATATACAGAGAACAGCGCCGAAATTCTTTCGGGTACAAACACAGTTTGCTCACACGGATAGCTTTATCAGTAACGACAACATGTGATTCGATTGCCGGCCGGTCGCGGCTCACTTTAAAAACAAACACTACATGAACTGAGCTTTGTGCAGAGGAGATAGAGCATCATGTAGGTTGTACGCAAGTTGTACCATACAGACCATGCTGGCACCACGTGTTAGCAAACAGGGTTGTCAAATAACCGGTTATAATCACATACTCGAGGTAATAACCAAAAACACCACACCGTTCACTCACTTCAGCAACATAGAGATTTCTTCCAAGTATTTCACAATGTTTAATAATAAAATAACGGTGAACTACACGTGAAGACTGCGACACAAATTAGATTAGTAACGTGACTACGCGACGTCTAGCCACCGATGTTCAACGTATGAAACTAACGCGAATTTTCGTTTGATTTGGTATGTTGACTCGCCGGCCTTCGTATGCGAGACCCATTCGGATAGTCAACCCTGTTAGGCACGTGCGCTTCATCTTAGGTCAGCCGAATACTAAATCATTCGTTATGCCTAATGTGCTTGCCCTATAGTATGTGCCCTTCGCATGTATTCAGGAGTTATGAAATAGGCAATATCCTTGCAAGCAAGGCATTGTTATAGCACATTATTCAAATAGGTCGTAAAACGCTCAGCTGCGTAATAATCTGTTTACATTATTTTTCGTTACGAATGCTAATGACATTTATCGCGTTCACACGAATGGCTGTAGCATAATGTTCATTAGGCCAAATTTTTATCCAGATGTTTATAAAATTAAACGAATCATAGCATTAAAAATGTTTTTACATTATAAAACGCGAGGTGCATTACGATTAAGGTCATTTGTAAGCAGATGAAAAGGTTTTATTGAAAATCCAAAAGTGATTATAAAACATTGCGGAAAAAAAATACCATAACGAAACAAGTCTTTTACCTTAAAATAATTTCTATAGCAATGGTTATAAATACAAAAGTAACAGTTTAAAAATATTATTCATTAATATTCAAAATAACACACTGAAATACAGGTAGTAGCTACTCTCACTAAATAACACAAATAACATTATCTTAATTTTCAGGTAGTTCGCATTATAATAAAGAACACGTATCAATGGTGAGGTAATATCCGTTACCGAACGTAATATTACGCGTTTTTCAAGTGCCCAGACACTGAATTGTTTAAAACCATCGTTCGGCTCACGCTCATTCGAATAGATCATTTCATAATCGTGACCAATCGACTCGCTGGTCATTCACCTCTTGTTTTTAGTTCCCGATAAATAGAGCACAGTGAGGCTATTGATACAGCTGACATAAACATGACCTTTTACCGAAACATAGATTTTATAAACAGTGCATTTCATCAGCGAGTTGGCACGGAACGGACCAAAATAGACCGGTCCACCACTTCACTCGCGCTCGACCTTGCGACACGCTCCCAAGCCTGCTCCTATATCTGACATTGAGTGCCTGCAGGGCTACTCCCAACTTTATTTGAAGTTTCGAATGTTTCAATCAGGTTTCATCCCTCTCACGCAAAGCGAGATGCCTGCATGGATGACGGTGACAACACCAGGGAGAATTCACTGAAATAGTAGACTCGGTCCACCACTTCACTCGCGCTCGACCTTGCGACACGCTACCAAGCCTGCTCCTATATCTGACATTGAGTGCCTGCAGAGCTACTCCCAACTTTATTTGAAGTTTCAGATGTTTCTTTCCCTCTCATGCAAAGCGAGATCCCCGCATGGATGACGGTGACAACACCAGGGAGAATCCACTGAAATAGTCTCCGTCCACCACTTCACTCGCGCTCGACCTTGCGACACGCTTCCAATCCAGGGTCCTATATATCTGACATTGAGTGCCTGCAAAGCTACTCTTAACTTTATTTTGAAGTTCCGATGTTTCCTACCCTCTCACGCATAGCAAGATGCCAGCATGAGCAATAGTGACAGATAGACCCGAGACTACGTAATCGGCGCTAGGAAATAACCCTGCTGGTCTTATATCTGACAATGGGAGTGCCTGCAGGGCTACAGACTCCCAACTTTATTTGAAGTTTTGAATGTTTCCTTCCCTCTCACGCAAAGTAAGATGCCGGCATGAACGACGGTGACAGATGGGTGCTAGGGAATAACCATGCTGGTCCCTTCTATGAAATTGAAAATGATAAGGGGATTTTCAGTATCCAAAGTACCTATTTATTTACAGCAACTCCCATTACTTCAAACAAGAAAAGGATATTATGTAGAGACAAGACTGGTTAAATTATGCCATTCCATTTGTTGTGTTTATTGACAGTTTTGTGTTATTTTAGCTTTTAATCATAATATAGCTATCGAAATATAAAATCCAGAATGTAGAGCTGAAAAAACGGTCTATAAGTTACTAGGAATAATTTAAGGTCAGACAGTAATTAAGAAAAGATGGAAACAATTAATGAATAAGGAATTAGATAATGAGGTCATGCCGACCTACTTCAGTCTGATCATTGTGTTGTGCCAATTTAAAGTAATAATGCAATAAATTCGTATCTAGGATAATGATTAGCCTTGTGTTATCTGCAGATCTAAGGTGATAAGTATTACGCATTTATTCAATATAGGATGTTTTAAAACAAATATTAAATTAAAGTAGCACTTATTATTAAACAATACATAAGATTTTTCCAAAAGACGTCATTACGGTTTACGTATTTTGGACAGTTGAACTCACTGTAAAAAAAAATGATTTAAACGCTATAGCCTGACCAGGAACATAAAAACCCTCGCCATGTTGCGGAAAACTAATGGTACTAATTTCTTTTAATGGCAACAGTAACTGAAAACTTCATTGACATGTCACCTTGCATGTCAGTCTATTGTTGTCAAAGTGTAAAAAAACTTTATTTTAAATGTGTGCAATTGATTTTGTGAATTAAATTGCTAAAATATTTTTATAGTCGTGAAAGAAAAGTGGTTCACGATGTGTTAATGTATTTGTCGAAGAGAAATACTAAGGGTTCGGACAATATTTTCATTGAATAATGTTTCCGACAAAGGTTGTCAAATTGACTGACATGTACTCGCGCTCGACCTTGCGACACGCTACCAAGCCTGCTCCTATATCTGACATTGAGTGCCTGCAGAGCTACTCCCAACTTTATTTGAAGTTTCAGATGTTTCTTTCCCTCTCATGCAAAGCGAGATGCCCGCATGGATGACGGTGACAACACCAGGAAGAATCCACTGAAATAGACTCGGTCCACCACTTCACTCGCGCTTGACCTTGCGACACGCTCCCAAGCCTGCTCCTATATCTGACATTGAGTGTCTGCAGGGCTACTCTAAACTTTATTTGAAGTTTCGAATGTTTCATCCCTCTCACGCAAAGAGAGATTTCCGCATGAGTGACGATGACAACATCAGAGAATATCCACTGAACTAGACTCGGTCCACCACTTCACTCGCGCTCGACCTTGCGACACGCTTCCAATCCAGGGTCCTATATATCTGACATTGAGTGCCTGCAGCTGGTGCTGTCTGAAAAATCAACTATAATGGTCACAGCCGTAGCCTTTGTGTTAAAAATAATCTCCCGTACTATGATAATATCAATCCTCACTTTCCTCACACTTACCTTTCCGTTATCACTGCACTGGTATAATAGTATGTAGAAATAAAAATGTTAATTAAAATAATAATAATCATCATTAGACGTTTAGACATATTCAAGTTCTTTATTTAGTGCTTTCTTCTTATGATATTTTCATTAATACAATGTAATGAAACTATTTTCAACCTTATGTCTTACACATAGAGTTCAAAATTAATTGAAGAAAAAATACAAATCATGGTAGCATGATGTGCCAGAAACTCTAAATAAATTCTTAAATAATAATCTTTACTTGCTTATGAACCAAATAGTATGAATTCATGGATAAAATAAATATTTTTTTCCGACGCGCATTAAAATTCGCCCGCTGTGTCCTGAAGAAAAATTTTTTTTCACCTACTGGTTTCAAAAAAAGTACCATACAATGGTATATATTTATAATCCTGATAAATGTAGCTTTCGGGACATATTTTTTTTATTAGATTATCTCCAGTGGTTTAAAAGTAAACGACGTTTATTTAAAAAAATACTTTTTGGTTTTTGTGAATTTTACTCCATATTTCTATTTTTTTGTATGAAAAGCCAAAAAGTTTGTTCTAGAAATAAATTCACCATCCTTTAATTATCCGAAAATGACACCACACTTGCCCTAATACCCATAGTTTTGAAGATATGGGCCTTAAAGTGAAGCGCGGCAGAAGGAAACTTGCCCCCCCTCCCCCTGCTACCACAGGGGGGGCTCCCGATGTCTACCGACGGAAATCTACTCAGGAGCACCCAAAGAACAACTGGTGCAAAAATGAGCCTTCTATACCAAAGTGGAGGGGTTCTTGCACT